TCGTGAAGTTGGCTGCTCACCTCAGTTCGTGCTGAGGTTAGGTATACCAGAATCTATACCTCTACTTCCCATAAGCCTTCATGGCGTGTTGCTGAGGGCACTTTCACTTTACATTAACCCTTAGAATCAGAAGACAGCTCCTAGACTTGTGGCAAATTTCTGCAGACCTGAGGATATTCTGAACTTTACCTACATTCAGTTTTGTCATTTCATTTATTCACCTGCCATAAATCCTGTCGAGAATACATTCTCTTGCGGATGTGGAGATCGTCCTAGTTACAGTCACAACTAAGAATTACAGTTGTCATCCAATAACATGCACATTTGTAATAAAATACTGATAAATATATACAATAAATAAATAAATAAGTTAATTTTAGAAGTAAAAGTAATGACAAACCTTATACAATTTGTACAGTTTTATACACGTGTATTAATTAAAAATTCAATTGTTAAAACACAATGTCATTAATGAGTTTTGTATAACATACATTAATAGTATAATAAATTAAAATAAAGGCTAGTATACAGTGATATAAAGATTGTGTGTGTCTAAAATAAGCAACTAAAAATCAGAACACAGACTGACAATCTTGTCTTCTTTTAATTGTAAAGCTACTTGCATCTTAAAAAGATTTATAACCCAAATATTCCTGTAAGTCCTCTTGGGAATAAACCAATCTCAGTCCGTTAAAATTCGAAATAAAGCAGTTACTGTATGTGGGCGCGTGTCTGAAGCAACATGAGTTATGTAAACCAAGGTTAAGCTAGGTTGCTACTGAAGTAACACTGTTGCTGCTTGCTTATGTTTGTACTGAAGAACACCATCTTTTGGGATGTAACTCCATGTGATATAAAAGTCCACCGACGTTTCGAAAGAACATACTGCCTCCATCTTTGGATGGAGAAGAAAGCGGCAAGCAGCACCCAGACTACACGGCGATAGATCCCAGAAAATAGTATTCTTCATGGTGATCCCTTTGAGAGCCTCAAATCTGACCTACGGTTGTACTGGATTCGCACACGGTGGTGAACTAGATCAGTGTTCCGCAACCTTTTTCTCCTCGCGGCACACCATGAAGTATTCATGACTCAACACGGCACACCAAAATGTTATTCCCCTCAAAAACGCATGATATCAGACAATTAATATAAATACGTAACGTGATCAACTTATTACTATAATATTATTATATTGTTATTTTATTATCATTAAACAGAAATCGACTCGTGCATTTATTAACAATTAACGAACTTTAATTCGCTGTAGAGTGTAGAAAATACACTTCTATTACTGTTAAAGTAAATACAGTAATTCG